GTACAAACTGTAACAATATGTTTGAATAAACAGACCTGAGGCATGACCTCACCTTAACTCCAAAAAAAAAAAAAAAACTAAAGTATAAAAAATGCTAATTATACAAGTAATTTTTTTAAAGTTGGCTAGTAGCCTTATAAAACAATATAAGCTTTATAAAGCTACTATATTTAATATTGGCTAGCTTAAAATAATTGACATATAGACAAATCATTTATACCACATGCTTAATGTTAATTGGTTAATTTTTATCCGCAATATGAAATTTGATATCGTGCTTATGTTTCTATACATAAACTTCAGCTTATCGCTTTTATGATAAGTTGATGATGCCTTGCGCACGATCACGTTACAATCGAGTATAAACTTCCAGCATCATATATTAAATCACACCGTATTTTGAACATTTGAACAAAAAAAATTTTTATTTATTTTAAACATAAAAATTTTTAGGAACATAAATTTATTAATGTTCATGAAAATAGAGCTATATATATCAGAATTTAATTCTTGTGAGCAGTTCCCACATGTGCAGAATTTACCATCCGCGCGAACTCAAGGCTACTCTCAGTTTCTGACAGTGATGATTCCAAAGGTGAAAGATTGACCAGCATAAGGACTTTAGCGTTACCGCCTAATGATGAATAAATATATATTAATAAATATATATGGCTTTTTGAATCATCAAATACATATTTATTTAAATCAATTAATTACCGAGAGAGTTTTTTAACATCCACGTTAATGTTGAATCACGAAAATTTACATGGCAAGAATCTTTCTTAATTCCTTGAATCACAGTTTTAAGGTGACTCAAACTGGAATTTATATGCTTTGCCTCTTGCAATTGATCACCTTTAGATTCTGATTTTGAGAGCCGTTCCGATCCTGCCAGGTCTATTAAATTCAACGAACCAATTCTAGTTTCATTTGAGTTTTCATTTGTTCCCTTTAACCGAATCATGAATACGCTATGACTGCGCGAAGATTGAGCGTTACATTTTGTCGCAGCGACTGCTCGATTATGTGCTGCAGTTTTTAATGCTTGATTGAGTGTATTAGAACAATCAAGGTCCACTAATTCAAAGAAATGCCACGTAAGAACGAAATCGGTCACGTGAAATTGAATATGTAAAAAAATTATGATTAAGAAAATGCCGAGCTCGATACTATTAAAACATGGTACCTGTGCACGTACTCGATATGTTTCAATAGTACTGAGCTGAACTTTAATATAAATCTAGCAAGAAAAAAAACCCCCAACATACCAGTAGTGGCTTTTGAAATTCTTGTTGTGCCAGTCCGTTCATCATGAATTGTTTTATGTTTAACGCCATTTGTATTAGATGGATCAGTAACAAGCAAGTCCCGGATGTTATCATTGTATATCTCTATGAATTGTCCTTCCAATGTAAATTTCCAGCACTGTGTCTTTAAATCTTGAATTAATTCATAAATTAAGCGGACCGCTCGAGGGATCATCCCTTCGGTTTCAGGGGTTGCATTAGCAGGACCTGTCATTGTATATGTCTTGCCAGCCCCAGTTTGGCCATATGCAAAAATGCACCCATTATAACCATCTACAACCGATTGAACAATGTGTGCAACCTCAGAAAAAATGTCTTTCTGTGTTGCTAAAGTATCAAACACCTGGTCAAACTGATATTCTTTAAGGGTTTCTTTTTTTTCACCTAAATAATTTGTTTTGGTTGATACGAGGGAGATTTTTCTATTGAATGGTATTTCTTTTGGAAATTTGAAATTGGCGATATTTTGTTTTTCTGATTCTAGTAATGGACGAACGCGACAGAAAACACGTATATTTCCTTTAAGATCTTGAACATCATTATGAAGTTTTCGACGAAGACGCTCATATTCTTGCAATTTAGAAGTAAACTCCTGGATTTGGTTTGTGTTATTTGTGATCTTCTCGTTTTGTTCGGCAATACTTTCGTTTGCCTTCTCCAATTCATTTCTATAAGCTCTCATTTCAGATGTTAATTTAGAATTGTTTTTTACCATAACAACACGATTTTGTTGAAGATCTGCAATGCTGTCTTCAATTTCCTTAACATGAGCCTCTTCGTTTGCTACACGCTTTTTCATCCGGTCAATATCTGCTATGTATTCTTTTTTAGCGCAATCTTCCTCTTGAATTTCATTCTGAAGTTGTGTGCTTTCAGTAGATATCTCAGTTTTTTCTTTATGTAGCTCTTCGAATTGTTTTTTGAGTTTAGAGTTTTCGTCTCTTAGGAGTTCAATTTGTGAAGGTGGTTTTGGCAAAGGAGCGGGGGGAGGTGGATATTGTATTCGTCCGCGTGTAGTCGTGCTTTTTTTCAAAGTAACGCGTGTTGAATGGTCAGAATCAAACGGCACTGTGCGTATACTTCTACCATTTTCTTTGGAGGAATCGTTGTTTTTTCTCTTTAGAGAAGTACTGGTGGAACTAAAAGTCTTATTACCAGAAATAGTACTGGTAGTCTTTTTTACGGAAGACGCCTTGGAAGAATCTTCATTTTTCCTCTTTAAAGAAGTGTTGTTAGCAGAACTAAAAATCTTATTACCAGAAGTAGAAATACTAGCAAGTTTTTTTGCGGAAGACGTTGTGGCAGATCGTATTTTACGCGGAGAATTAAGGACATTAATATGAACAGGAAGTTTACTTAATCTCGGATTACTTGAAGACATTTCTGTTGTTTAAAAAGTTCAGAATGACTTTGTAAAGTTAAAGTGAATGTTTACGTTTGTAATTGTCAGGTATGACATCATACAATTTGTCCAATCAGAATCAGCTTATTGCCAATGCACAATACACTAAAACCAACTTTAGAACTTGAAAGTGAACAGTCTAATCACAATTTTTTTGTTTTTTTCTCACTGGTGAACGGGCCTAAAAATTTAAACTTTTGCCGGCCCGCAAAATAAAATTTATTATGTTTTTTAAAAGTTCGGCCCGCAATTTTGAGAGGTTTTAAAATTTTTAAATTTTGGCCTGGCCCGTGCAGGCCTCTACCCCAGATTATTAGCTATCCCTGAGAAATGATTAGTAACGTGAGTTCCCGTCATGTCGTCATATAAAATGATAAATCACATTTGGAGAGTGGGCTAGGAAAATCGCCGTTTGGAAAGTAAGTGCAAACCGGTGGTTTTCCTAGTCCATTTCTCATTTATTTCCACATATGCCATTGGGAAGATATTTCATTGTTCCAGGGAATAAATAAATACTTAAGACAAATGTGTTTTTCTATAATGACTTATCGACGGCGATTGACCAATTAGATTACAAGATCAGGTATAACGTGAATTTCGTCTATGTAACCATCTCCTGCGCGTTAGTAAAAAAAAATTTCTTGGAGAATTTTAGTATAAGAATAGTATAAGAAAAGTATCGTTATAATTATAAATCTGACCTTAATGTAACGTTTTATGTCTTTAAAAAAATTGTCGATAACTTTCTGGCGTGCTAGGTTTCCTAGTGATGTGACTCATGTTCGGTTAAGGTTCGTGGTTATCGACTTAAATCTTATTATGATTTATAACCTTATAAATTGTATTCCTGTCATTTTTTATTAATGCTCCAAGGTCAATTTAAATAATAGTTTTTTCGTGTTTTCGCTTTTTTCCTTTGCACAACAACGCTAATTCATAGGACCCATTCCCTACCCCCTTATGTCAAGAAAATCCCGGGCTGCCGGCCAAAAAGATGAGTCGTAGTATATCAAAATTTCTCTATATATCTAACATTAACAATCGTATCTTATAAGTAAAATTTCATTTTGAAAACTTTTACTTGGAGGTCGGAAGTTAGTCATCATAGTAAATTTTTGTGTTATTTACGTTTTTTTTTTTTACAATTTCTTATGTTTTTCGCGTTTGTTTTGTTACACGAGATCCTGTGATTTTATTGGATCCGGATATGGTCGGAAGTGATCGTCAGCGATCTTCAGCCCGGGATTTTTTATGTCAAGCAAAATCGGACCTACACTCCGATCTGTCATGACATTAGAAATTTTATAATTTCTGCCATAAGAGATCGTGTTATATGACTAAAATTTCGTTCTGCACATTTTTACTTAGAGGTCGGAATGCAGTTTACATAGTAAAGTTTTGTGTTAGCTACGACATTTTATTGGTTCCGAAATTATGCGGAGTGTCCGTTTTTGCTTGGAACCCCTAGTTATACGTACCGGTATAATCGCGGTCCTTAAATCCGACTTGTCAATTACACATATACATCGCATATATCATCTGACTTTAAACGAATTGTCGCTTTAGTATAAGTCTATTAGCCAATCAGATCTCAAAAATTAGCCAATCGGAATGAAAACCCGATATGCTGGGAAGATCGGAAGGATCGAAATTCATGTTTTCCGACTCACCCATCAGCTACGAACAGTAGAGACTGTTGATATTTCATAGGCAGAAGTTTGTCTGACTGGCTAATAAATTCAATTTAATTTTACAGTTTAGAGTTACTTTTTAAAAAAACGAAGTTTCATTAGAACTGTATGACTCCATAGTCAAAAATAAGATCTAATTCTCGTCCGTTTAAAAAAGTTAGTATAATAATAACTTCTCAAAACACAATAAAATCCACTTATTACTAAGCTAATTTTTTTAAACGGACGAGAATTAGATCTTATTTTTGACTATGGAGTCCTACAGCTCTAATGAACCCTTCTATTTGGTTTTTTTACTTAATTATGGTTGGTTTTCGTTTTCGGATTAGTTGTCGTATAACATCTGTACCAGCTATGCACCAGCATTTCACGTGGCACTTTATTCTAGTTGTGTTACATCATAGCATAATCAAGACTAGAACACGATTTTTTTAACGTTAGCTTGTCGGATGAAATGTCTTCTCGTAGGGTGGTAATAACAGGTTTAGGCTTAGTTACACCCTTATCAACTGGCGTAAAGTCATCATGGAAAAAATTAATCAATAGTGAAAGTGGTATAATATCTCTAAAATCAAATAATATTACCAGTAAAACTGGTGTTAATCAAAATATCCCTGAAGAAAAAAAGGAGGGGAAATTTAATGAGTTATCATCGACTGTTGCCGGTACTGTAAAACCAGGAAAATACGTTGATGGGGGTTTTGATCCAAAAGAGTGGTTAGATCCTGGAGTAATTAAAATGATGACCGAATTAGTGATTTGATTAAATTTAAGCAAGTGACTAATAGTCTTATGAATAATTTAGGATGAAAGAAAAATGGCATTGTTTACTCAATACGCAATTTGCGCAGCAAAACAAGCTTTGAATGATGCTGAATGGACACCGGTATCAGATCTTGAAAAAGAGCGAACTGTATGTGGTTATAAGGAAAAGTCTTTATAAAAATATCAGTAAATTGGATTATAAATGTAAAAGATGATCTATAAATAGGGGGTGTGCATAGGATCAGGAATCGGAAGCCTAGAAGATGTTATCTCAAATACTATGGCATTTGAGAATTATGTATGTCGATTTCACCAACTGCTTTTTATTCATATTAATGTATATTAACAATTGAAATACGTGCACAAAGGGTCTTAAGAAGGTGAGTCCGATGTTTGTACCAAAAATATTGATAAACATGGCCGCAGGTCACTTAACGATGAAGTATGGATTTCGCGTAAGTTATTTCAATTTCTTTTCAATTTCTGCTCAAAGCATGCTAATATAACTTTATAATGTCTTAAAGGGACCAAATCACGCAGTATCTACAGCATGTACAACTGGGGCACATGCTATTGGCGACGCAAGCAGATTTATTCAATTCGGAGATGCGGATGTTATGATTGCCGGTGGATCCGAAGCTAGTATATTACCTTTAACTATTGCAGGGTTTGCGAAGTGAGTTACTTAAATATATATGTATTTTCTGGTATTATGAATAATATTTTTTTCGTTAAACAGGGCAAAATCATTAGCAACCAAGTACAATGACAAGCCGGAAGAAGCTTCAAGACCATTTGATAGAGATCGAGATGGATTTGCCATCAGTGAAGGTGCTGGAGTCGTTGTACTTGAGGTTAGTCCATTTTTTTACTTTGTGATTTCTTAGTTGGTTTATTTCTAATATTTTTTTTTTTTATCAGGAATATAATCATGCAAAAAGCAGAGGTGCACACATGTATGCCGAAATTCGAGGTTATGGGTTATCAGGTAAATATGAGTCTTCTTGTTTCATTCATTATGACATTACTCATGCATTAGTTTATCACAATAGGTGATGCATATCATATGACAGCTCCATTAGAAAATGGTGCTGGTGCTGAATTAGCTATGCGGAGGGCATTAAATAATGCTAAATTATCTCCAAGGGACATTGATTATATTAATGCCCATGCTACATCAACCATATTAGGTATTGAATTTCCTTCGTGCCATAATTCATGTTTAAATCAAAGGTTCATAACAATTTAACAAACCAATCTTTAGGAGATATTGCTGAAAATCGGGCAATCAAGTCAATTTTTGAAACTTCAGGCGCACCTCATAAATTAGCGGTATCATCGGTCAAGGGATCCATAGGTCATTTATTAGGAGCTGCTGGTGCCGTTGAAGCCATATTTACTATTTTGTCATTATTTCATGTAAGTTACCAATAATTCAAAGCTTTTTTTTCTGTAAGTTCTCTAATTCTTTTTAATTGCTAGAATATTCTTCCACCAACTTTAAACCTTCACAATCCTGGTGATCCTGCATCAGATTTTTTATCTTTTAATTATGTCCCGTTAAATGCGCAGCAACATCCTGGAATTAGAGCTGCATTGACCAATTCATTTGGATTTGGAGGAACTAATGCGTCTTTATGTTTTACAAAATGTAAATAACTCGTGAATAATTGTAATTGTTTAAAGAGCAAAAATCTTTAAAATATAAAGTTTTTTGTTTAGAACTCAAAAATCTTTTTTTAAAATTTGTTTTTGAGAACTATATATTAATTTGAAAATTTGTATTCATATATAAATATAGTACCAAACACAAGAAATATTTAATATATATATATATAATATATAGTGTTATAACCTTTTAATATTATAAAATTTAGTAAAACTTTATTTTAATAAATTGTAACTTGACTTAAAGGCAATAAATTCATAAAAAGAATTTTTGTTAAACTAATTTGTTCTGAGTTATAGTATTTTAAATTTTACATATATTTAAAAATATGATGTTATATAGTTTAATTTTTATATAATTATATTTTGAAATCAAAAATTAATAATTATATAAAGTAGTTAGATCTAGGAAAAGAATATAAATATGGAAAAATTAGGTAAGCAAGAACCTTTAGATAAGAAGTATTATCAACTAGGCTGTCAAAATTCAGATCAGAGAAAAAAAATATTAGGTCAAACTCAATATACCAAGGACAGATTATAGTTCTACTAGGTTATTTGAATTGAAAGTCTAAAAACAAAGCAAAAGTATATCAAAGTACTAGAAATATATTGTAAAATTGGTATTAAGGTCTGGATGAACTCTACAAGGACATAGTTCTGTTAATAGTTTATAGAATAAATAGGTTAGTTAATAAAAAAACATCTTAAGCCTTGCAGTTAGATAATATATTTTAAAGTAAGTAATAGCTTAATAGTCATACAAAAAAAAATTTAAATATTAGATTGGATAGTACTTAGATATATGAAAATTATAAGACTTTTTGACTAATGTAGTATAAAAATCAGAATGTTTAAATAAATAATCTTTTAGTAGATTATAAATATAGTAACTAGTATAGAATCTGTAAATAAACTATTTAAACAGATAATTAAAAATTGTATATATAGTTAGTTGTATATTTACCTTATACAAATTATAAATATATAATTAAAAACACAATATAAATAATAGTTATTAATAAATATTAATCTTAATAAAAACAAAAAAATAAAATAAAAAATATATAAAATTATTATTATAGAATTTTTTTTTGTTTTTACTAAGGCTGTTTGTTATCAATAGTTACTATTTTTATTATATTTTTAATTATAATTATAAGGGTGTAGCGACTTAGTAAAATGGATAAGTTGTTATATCTCCAAGTAGTAGGTTGTGAGTTCAAAACCCATTGACAGTAAAATTTGGATAATCACTTATGTAATATATAGATGGTATTACAGTGATGGCATTCTGTCGATCAGTTGGAATAGGATACCTGTAACTATGGTCACATTAGCATGACTGGCAAGTCTGAGGCATCTGTATAACTTGTTACACAGAGAAATGCAAACTGGTACCGGGTGGTGCAAACCTAAAATAAGTCCTTGGGCTGTGTAAATCTGTAGAACTGGGAAGCTAGAGCCCATTTAGAAATTCTGAGCAGAGAGATATCACAAATCTTTGACAATACTACTGTAAAGGCTAGACCTAGGAAATGGATACCAATAGGAAAGATTTGAGTAGACAAGAACCTCAGGTAAGAAGTATTACCAACCAGGCTGCCAGATTTTGGACTGGAAAAAAAAGATATTTGGTTAATTTCAATATACCAAGGACAGGTCACAGTCTTTTCAGGCTATCTGGATTAGGAGTCTGGGTTCAAAAGCAGGAATATATTAAAAGTACTAGAGATATGCTATGAAGTTAGTACTAAAATCTGGGTGAACTCTACAAGAATAGCCTGTGTTAGTGTTCTAAAACTAGATAGATAGTTAACAACAGGGGGCCCTCTATGCCTTACTGGCAGGTAACGTATTCTGAAATATGTAACAGCCTAGAAATCAGTACAAAAAGGGTAGGTACTATACTGCTCAGACAGTATACCAATTAAGTATATACGAGAGGTTAGTTGGAGATTCTAATATGACAGGGCAAATGATTAGAGAGTTTAAATAAATAATCTCCTAGTAGGTTATAGGTATAGCATCTAGTGTAGAACCTTAGAATGGACTACTTAAATAGGTAACTAAAAGTTGCATATGTGACTAGCTGTACTCTCATCTCTATAAAAATAGTTGTAATAGCTAACCTAATATAAAGTCAATAAAGTATCACCACAAGTATGGCCTTTAACAAAAAAAAAAAAATTATAATTATATAACTTGTACAGAGTAAATGTGTAATTAGTCATATATACAACTTTTAATTATTTATTTAAATAGTTCATCTGCAGGTTTTATACTAGTTGCTATACTTGTAATATGTTAGAAGATTATTTAATTAAATATTCTGATTTTTATATTATATTTAACAGATAGTATATCAGTTCCTATATATCTAAGTATTATCTAACTTAACATTAATCATTTTTTTTGTATATTTATCAAGCCATTATATATTTCAGAATATATTATCTGACTGTAAGGCTTTAGAGGCCTTCTGTTAACTAGTTTTATTTACTTTTTATAAGATATTAACAGAACTTGTTCTTGTAAAGTTTATTTAAACCTTAGTACCAACTTTATAATATAATTTTAATATTTATAATATATATTTGTTTTGTTATTTAACTCTTAATTTAAATAACCTAGTAAGACTACAATATGTCTCTAGTATATCAAATCTAGCTTAATATTTTTTTCTTTAGTTTGAGACTTTTAATAACAGTTAGTGATACTTCTTTACTAAACTTCTTGCTTACTTAATTCTTTTATATTAATATTTGTTTTCTAGGTCTAGTTTTTACAATAATACTATTAAAGATTTGTATTATCACTCTATTTAGATCTTTTTAAGTAGATTTTAGTTTTCTCAGTTTCACAAATTTATACAATTATAAGAACTTATCTTGAGTTTGTACAACTCTGTATTAGTTTGCATTCTTTTGTATAACCAATATTATATAAATATCTCTTAATCTACTAGTTATGCTAGTGTAATTATAGTTACAAGTATCTTATTTCAAATAATTGACAAAATGTTATTGTTATAATATAGGTATATTTTTTCAAATTTTATCTCTAGTGTATTTTGAATTTATAACTTGACACTTGAAAAATTAATAACTTATTTATTTTACTAAATTATTTTACTCTATTTTTTTTAAAAAAAAAATAAAGCTTTGCTTGTAATTTATTAAGTAATTTATAAAATAATAACATATGTGCAGTATATATATTTCTATTATTTGTACTAATACAAATTAAAAAAAAAATTATATGTAAGAATAAAAGCTTAAACAATTAAATAAATTTAATTTATCTACAATCTAAACCTACTAGAATAGTCAGAAACTTATCTAGATAATATCATTTATAGTTAAAATAAAGTTAGAAGTTGTATAATATTTGATACACAGAGTGGCCCAAGTATTAATTTTTCTAAAGGTCTATTTAACAAGTAAACAGATTCCAGTATATAAATAAAGTTGGTCAAATTGATTACAAAAATAAGAATATATAAAATTATAATAAGTATGTATATTATTTCTATTGTAAAAAAATAAAGTTTGTTGATTAGTATGTATATATATTATTTGTTGTTTTTTCCAATTTGAAAAATTAATATTAAGGTTTTTATAATTATTTATAAATTTGATTGTTAATTTCAAGCAGAATATTAATTATAATTGTTGATACTAGTTTGTATAGAACTTCTAAGTTCTGAATAGTTTTAATTAGAGATAAAAGAATAAGACCTTTAAAAATAATTTCTAGATAGTATAAGAATGGATAAAGAGATGTTTTTTTGAAAGCTGAATGGTCTTTAATTTTTTGAATAAGTTCTTTAGTTTTATTATTAGAGAAGTCTAAATTAGCTAAGATTATGCAATTAGTTATTGCATTAGGAATGATGCTATTAAGCAAAAAAGAGTTGGCATAAGTGCATCAATATAATGATAATATAATTAAATTGCAATAAAAGCAATTGGCATCATAAAAAGTTAGAGAATAGATTTTATAATAGAGATATTGAGTAGGTAGCTCATTAAGAAGTAGTTTAATTTTAAATAATTTGGATTAGTTAAGTTTAAAATTAATAAGATTGTAAGTAGATTTTTAATTATGATTAAAGTATAGCCATTATTATATTTTATAAAATATTCTTTATATAATTATATTTATATTTAATATATTAACTGCATTCTAAATACAACTGCTCTTGACATGTCTACTAATTTGGTTTCTAATTTACATCAAGAAATCTTTACACTTAACAGTTTTAAACTATACAACTTTTCTTATATATTATTTTTTATTTTTATTTTATCTAACTTAGTTTTTATTAACCTTATTTTTACTATTTATAATATTTTTATTTATTTATTTTATTTTTTTTAATGTTAAAGTTCTTATTTTCAAAATGTGATATTTTTATTTAAGTATATAAGACATGATATGCCACCAGGGGCTATCTTATATTAAAGGTTACAACTAATCATATATGCACTTTTTGTATCTAATTTAAGTAGTTTGCTTATACATTGCTATATAAGTTTTATATTAGATACCATATCTGCAAGCTAACTAAAGGTTTTGCTTATTTAAATTCTCTGCATATACATCCTTTTTGTATTATAAGAACATCTTTAAGGCTACACCTATCTAAGTTCCTAATGCTGGTTAATACTTTTAGAACTACTTTATTTTTGACAAGAAACTTACTAAAGCCTTTATGTCTTATACATACTGACCTAGTTTTATGCAACATACTATAGTTATCTAACACTTGTAATTATAGAGTTTATCTATTTAACTACTACATTACACTATTTTTATCTTTGTAAAGTTTATTAAAACTCTAATACCTATCTTTCTGATATCATTTTTATTATTCTCTATTAGCTACAACTTGGAACTAACAGTCTCTTTTAGATTACCAATTTAGATAATCTGATATGATATACTTCTGTATCCTTTTCCTCTAATAAGTTTGGCAGCTTGGTTAG